TGAGCCCCTGCACCTCCACTCCTGCCTGCCACGGGACGGCCCTGCCTCGCAGGCGTGAGGGCAGATCTGTGGCACAAGGTGGGGGCGGAGGTATTACGGGAAGGGAGCCCGGCTCGTGCGCTGGGTCCAGAGGACGTGGGGCGCCATGAAGCCCTCTTTCGAAAGTGACCACTGACTTCACCGTGCAGAGGAAAAATGCCCAGCTGCCATTTCCCCCTTGCCAGACCCCTCTTGTCCTGCGCTGGGTTTGCTCCTCCCTCTGCGGCTGCCTGACGGCGACCCTCGGGCCCCACGCACTGGGCAGCTCGTTGTTGGGCGGGTCCTTACCTCAATTTTTGTTTTTTGATAGAAAAAAAAAAGGAAAATGTCCACGCTTCATTTATATCATTGCTCTGGGGTGGGGCTGGAGACAAGGGCTGCCCTGGAAGAGAGGATTACCCCTGCCTTCGCTCACCGCAGCAGTGTGGGGCCAGGTGAGAAGCGCCTCTCCATGGCCGCTGCAGCTCCAGCGGGCACAGCCGGGGGAGGGGGGCAAGTCCCCGACTGGGGCAGGTCCAGATCCACCTGCCCCCTGCACCTCTCAGCCAAAGCGAGGAATAGAGCAAAGTGCACTTTCTCCTCACTCCCTGGCAAAGGGCCAACAATGTTCCTGTAGGAATGGGGGAGGGACTGCAGCCCCTCTGCCCTCCTTAAAGGGGTAGTCCTGGGTGGGGGGGATGGCCCCAGCCAGCCAGCCTCCTCCGCCTGCCTGGTAATTCTGTCTCTTCTGCATGGTTCCCCATACAAATCAGAGGGAAGGAGGAACTTCAGACCCTCACCTCCCCCCCCGCCCCCCGAACAACACAACCAAGCCCTGGTCTTGCTTTGGAGAAGAGGAAGCTGCCTGCCAAATACGATGGTCCTAGAGCTTACCATTTAGGAGCAGTTCTTGGGCGGATGGATGGACTGACTTGATCACGCTCACGGACAGACGGACGGACAGGTTTGCTCTCGCGGACAGGTGGATGCACAGACAGGTTCACGCTCACAGACCACAGACGGGAACAGACAGGCTTGTGCTTACGGACAGGCGGATGGACAGGCAGACAAGACAGGCGTGCGCGTGCTGATGTGCAGGTGGACAAACAGTCTTGCTCGCGCTCACAGATGTTCTCGAATACACAGCCGATTACTGTGTGCACAGGAGTTCCAGTCATGGCCAAAGACCCTATTGTGACAGGTTCTGTAAAAATACAGAGCAGACCAACCAGTGCTGAGTGGTGCACATCCCAGGAGCCGCACTTCAGCAGCAATTACTCACCCTGGGCCTGTTTGTGCCCGAGCCGCTGTTAGCACTGGTGGGTTGAACCTCCCTGCAGATGCAGGCCGAATGCCCCAGAGTCGGCCTGTAGTGGGGGGAGATGCTGCAGTAGTGAGGGGCTGCCAGAGACCAGGCTCTCCTGTCTTGAGTGGGGAAGTGAAAGAGAAGCCAGGGCGGCTAATTAAGTTCTGTAGCCAGAGCAACAGGCCCTTGTGTGTTGTGTGTGCCGGGAGAGCGTCACCAAGTGCTGGAGAGTGACAGTCCTTCAGGGGTGCGTGTGATGGGAGAGCGACAATCCCTCTTTGGGTGCTGTGTGTGCCGGGAGAGCGTTGCCAGGTGCCGGAGAGTGACAATCCTTATCCCTCAGGGGGTGCATGTGCCGGGAGAGCGTCGCCGGGTGCCGGAGAGTGACAGTCCTTCAGGGGTGCGTGTGCTGGGGGAGCAACAATCCCTCTGGGGGTGCGTGTGCTGGGAGAGTGTCACCAGGCGCCGGAGAGCGACAATCCCTCGGGGGGGGTGCGTATGCTGGGAGAGCGTTGCAGGGCGCCGGAGAGCGACAGTCCTTCGGGGGGGTGCGTGTGCCGGGAGAGCGTCGCCGGATGCCAGAGAGCGACAATCCCTCTGGGGGGGTTTGTGCCGGGAGAGCGGCGCCGGAGAGTGACAGTCCCTCGGGGTGCGTGTGCCGGGAGAGCGGTGCTGGGTGCCGGGAGAGCAACAGGCCCTTGGGTGCTGATTTCTTCAGGGGTGTGTGTGCTGGGGGAGCAACAATCCCTCTGGGGGTGCGTGTGCCGGGAGAGCGTCGCCGGATGCCAGAGAGCGACAATCCCTCTGGGGGGGTTTGTGCCGGGAGAGCGGCGCCGGAGAGTGACAGTCCCTCGGGGTGCGTGTGCCGGGAGAGCGGTGCTGGGTGCCGGGAGAGCAACAGGCCCTTGGGTGCTGTGTGTGCCGGGAGAGCGTCGCCAGGTGCCGGAGAGTGACAGTCCTTCAGGGGTGCGTGTGCTGGAGGAGCGACAATCCCTCTGGGGGGTGCGTATGCTGGGAGAGCGTCGCAGGGCGCCGGAGAGCGACAGTCCCTCAGGGGGTGCATGTGCCAGGTGTCGCCGGGCACCGGAGAGCTACAATCCCTCGGGGGGGTGCGTATGCTGGGAGAATGTTGCAGGGCGCCGGAGAGCGACAGTCCCTCAGGGGGTGCATGTGCCAGGAGAGCGTTGCTGGATGCCGGAGAGTGACAATCCCTCTGGGGGGGTGTGTGCCAGGAGAGCGACGCCGGAGAGTGACAGTCTCTCAGGGGGTGCATGTGCCGGGAGAGCGTCGCCGGGTGCCGGAGAGTGACAGGCCCTTGGGTGCTGAGTGTGCCAGGAGAGTGTTGCCGGGTGCCAGAGAGTGACAGTCCCTCAGGGGGTGCATGTGCCGGGAGAGCGTCGCCGGATGCCGGAGAGCGACAATCCCTCTGGGGGTGTGTGTGCTGAGAGAGTGGCGCAGGGCACCGGAGAGCTGGGGGGTGTGTGCCAGGAGAGCGACGCCGGAGAGTGACAGTCTCTCAGGGGGTGCATGTGCCGGGAGAGCGTCGCCGGGTGCCGGAGAGTGACAGGCCCTTGGGTGCTGAGTGTGCCAGGAGAGTGTTGCCGGGTGCCAGAGAGTGACAGTCCCTCAGGGGGTGCATGTGCCGGGAGAGCGTCGCCGGGTGCCGGAGAGTGACAGTCCTTCAGGGGTGCGTGTGCTGGGGGAGCGACAATCCCTCTGGGGGTGCGTGTGCCGGGAGAGCGTCGCCGGATGCTGGAGAGCGACAGTCCCTCGGGGTGTGTGTGCCGGGAGAGCGTCGCTGGATGCTGGAGAGCGACAGTCCCTCGGGGTGCGTGTGCTGGGAGAGCGGTGCCGGAGAGTGACAGTCCCTCAGGGGGTGCGTGTGCTGGGAGAGCGTTGCTGGATGCCGGAGAGCGACAGTCCCTCGGGGGGTGCTTGTGCAGGAGAGCAGCACCGGAGGCCAGAGGGGACGCCCCCTGCGCGTGTGCTGTGTCTGACCCCACAGTGGCTCTTGCAGCGCGGGTGCAGACTGGAGCAGTGGGCTGGCCCCGGAGCAGGAGGCTTTTCCAGCCCTGAGCCGGTGCCCAGGTTCCAGAGGGCAGCCCCCAAGGGGCGGTGGGTGAAGGTCTGGAGCCAGGCCCTTGAGCATGCAAATGAAGCTGGTTCCTGTGGGATGTAGACTCTGGGATAATCTTTCGGGCCACAGCCCTTTTGCCCGGTCAGCAGGGTGTTGGGGGCTGTTTCGCTGCTCTCTGCTGGTCGGACTGGGAAGGGCCCCAATCCCCGGGGAAGCCGTTTTGACGGTGACGCCTGGAAGGTGCTAAGTGTCTTGAAGACGCTGCCGGGCGCGTGCCGCTGCTGGGGGCGTGCGGAGAGCACGGTTTGTTTCCCAGCGGCTGGCCGGAGGAGGATTGGACGCACTGCCGTGTCTCCGGTTCTCTGGGGCTAGCGCACGGGCTGCGATCAGAAGCACGTTCCCAGGACGAAGCTTTTCAGGTCCGGAGCCAGAGTAGGAAGCGAGGCGAGAGGCCGAGGGGCACCCTGGGCGCAGGCTGCCTGGCTCCGTCAGCGCCGAAGGAGACAGGGATCTTTCCCCCAGCCGTTCTAGGGCCGCACGGTGCCAGGCTGACCTCTGGGCTCCTGAGCACGGACCCTCGGCACGTGCATGGGCCCTGCCTGAGTGACGAGCACCACTGGGCGTCCTCAGTGCTCACTGCATGAGGCTGGGCCAAGTGCAGTCTGAGGCTTTCGCCTTCCGCTTCGTTGTGCCTTACGTCTGTGCCCAGTGGCTCCCTCCCCCCCCCAGGTGCTGTCTTCTCCCAGTGGGAAGCTCAGGGAATACCCCAAGCGTGGCCTGGGGGCTTGCGAGACCCCCATGTCTTCAGCTCTTGGCTGCCCACTGCCTGAGCACCCAGCCCAAACCCTTCCGCCCACGGCGGCGTGCCAGCCCTCTTCCAGGCCAGCAGTCCGCCCCCGCCCACCGAGGCGTGGAGGCGAGCCGGGTTCCAAGCGGGGACCAAGAGGTCA